AAAAAAAATTGAAAGACAAATTATGTAAAAGCTTAAAAGGTGAGTACCAAAATTCACATTTAGGCTTCGGACTCAATGGCAGACAAGAAATTTTTGTTTGGGTTCAGAGGAGTTAATACCAGGCCGGAGCCCAAAGTCTTGATGGGCTGGACCAAAGAAGGCTCTCCGGGCTCCCACCTCAATCATTTTAGGGCAAAGCTCAAGGGCTCAAGCAGTAAAGTGGTTTTAGGCTTATAACAGCCCAAAGCCTTGTATGGCTGTTATAAGCCTGATAGGAAGAGGCCCAGTTATCTTTAATATATAAAAGTTCCCAACAGTCCCTTAGGTTTTGATTGTTAACAAAAATGGTTCTCAAGTAATTATTGAGAATCATTTAAAAGGACAGTTTCTAAATTTTTAATAGCATTATTCAGCAAGTGTTCTCTTGCAAATCTAATTCACGATTTAAGTGCTAGGATGAGTATTCAAAAAATTCAATTCTCTTAAATATACTAAGTTAATGTGTGATACATATATCCTTAAAATGGATAAAAAAAAATTAATTTAAGATGTATGAAAGTTAATTCACAGCACTTTTATTGCTTAAAGAAAAAAAAAAAAGAAGAAGAGAGAATAGATTAGTTTAGTTGAAATTTGAGTTTTTTTTTTTTTTTAAAGGAGTTTATGGAAATGGAATTGCTACTCATTATGGTATTCCCTAGTGGAATTATCACGTATTTGACTGTGATCATTGCTGACGGTGTACTCGTCTAGTCAAATACTTAATCAGATTCTATTGGAAAAAAATGTTAATGAATTTGATGCCTCAAAGCTCAAAGGAAACTTTGAACCACAAATATTTCATCCAAGACCCACAAAATCTAAAATACCATGACTGCATTCGCCTTTTCTAGAAAAAAAAAAAATCTAACTATCATGGCAAGACTAAATGTCCATATATGGACCACAGAAATCATTCCAAAGTTTGAACGAATTATAGTTAGATGATTCACTACTTTCCTCTACCATTTTTTGTTTTTCACAATTAATATGCATTTCATACATAGAGTAAATTTATCTTTCTAATTTAATCAAACATATTATTCATTTTAATATGCAAGTTTTTTTAAAAATGGTACTATAAAATAGACAAAAGTAAAATATCATCATTATATAGTCGTTTTTATGTATCAAAACTAAAATGATACATATCACAAGTTGTGAGCCGTATCTAAATCTAATGTAGAGAGGTTAGTCTTGGGAGATACGGTTGAAATGGTGCATCATTTTCCAGTATTTTCATACTGAGTTGGTGAACATGTGCCTTATGATCTTCTACACCATCACCAAGTGGGTGTTTGAGATAAGGAGAATAAATGGGTGGGAACCTACTCAAACACATTATTTAGTCAATAGACTCCCTAAATCATTGAATACACCACAAAAAAATTCAAAGCAAATATGTCATTTGTTAAGAAAAGATAAAGAAAATAGTAAAATAAGAAAGTTCTGAGACATGATCCCATTTCTTTTAAGGATTCAAATTAAAATTCTTTAAAATATAATAAAACTTAAAAACTCTCTCATAATTAAGTGTAAAATATGAACTCTATCAAAAGAATTTATATTGTCCGAATAAACATCTATTGAGGGGTATGTCTCTATAGAAAGACATTTGCCAAATGAATGTGTCTCTATAAAAAGACACTATTCTAGAAAGGTGCATTTTGTTGTCAAAAATTGTGTATGAAATTTCAGACATATCTATCTAATTTTGAAAAATTAATTGAATTAAATTAAAAATTAAAAAATAAAAAAAAATTTCTTTTGGTAGGTCAAAGCCCCAAGATGATCAAAGTGCCCATCTAAATGATAATATATAGGAGGCAATACCTAAACTCAAAACTTGCAAGTCTTGAGTTTCAACTTTCCATAATTATTTATAAATAGAGGATAAACATATATAAATTCCTTTATTTTCTTACTCTTCTCAGATATGGAACTTTTATTTTTCAAACTATTCAACACCATTACATTAATCTTGAAACTTATGTACTTTCTTTTATAAGGAGTAGTGTATTACATGAGGGACCCCTTTGAAAATTTAGGGCATGATCTCATTACTAGGTTTGCAAGGGGAAATTATGGGATGTTAAAGGAAGATTTCCTATATAATAATTAGAGTCCCATATTTTAGTATTTAGATTGCATCAAATTATAAAATATTAATTATTAGATAAATGGTAATATTATAGTTACTATTCTGTGTATGATTATAAATTTATAATTTTACGTAATATTAATTAAAATATAACATAAAATTAAACAAATAAATACGTATAATGTTATAAGTAAATTCATAAATAAAAAAAAATTATTTATACAAAATATATCTTATTATAAATTTAGAATATTATATAATATTATAATTATAATATTTTTCGTTAGAGAATGCAATTCTCTCCGACTATCAAGGACACATCTTAATCCAAAACCCCCTTTTTGTAATAATTAATTAAACTAAAATTATTCAATTTAACTTCAGTTCAAAAAAAAAAAAAAGACAAATTATTCGGGGCTCCATGTCCTTTGCTAGGGTACACATCAAAAAAACCAAAAATAAAAAAGACGCCCCACCAACAACTGTTCCCATCTTTGGCCTTTGGGAACAGAAATGAGAATTATGGGAGTGAAAGGTACTGACCTGAATAAATGTGGGACACGTGATTGTAAGACAAGGACCTACAATATGACTGATAGATTAAAAGAAGACACGAGGAAATAAAGCTGCTAAAATGAAAGATTCTGATGTGTCTACATACCTACTGAGAAATTGATACTTCCATGCCAAGTTTACACAAAGTGATTAATAAATTAAATTTCTTTAAACAAATTAATTAAAATTTTCCAAATTGATGCACCTGGGTTTTGTAACTAATGGTTATATGATTAATCGTAAGATGCACCTCTCAACTTTAAGATTGGGGTTTAAATCTCTCTTATTCAAAAATTATAATTTGTTAAAAAAAAAAACTCAAATTGATGCATACTAATTCTAAAAATCTTGATTCTATATTCAAAATCTCAATTTATAATATATATGTGAACCTTAGCATGCATATTTTTCCATGCACCAGAATAAATTGCTTTTTACATGGCAGCTAAATGAAGAAAAGAGGAAAAAAAACCTTTTGCAATAATAATAAATTAATATATTAATCAATTACATCAAATTAATTAACATCACAAATTCTCCCCTAAATCTATCATACCCAGCAAGAAACCTTGAATTTCCATGATTTGGAAGAGCCTCTTCAAGAGCTCACTTATTCTGAATGTACATGTTGGCATATATATTATGAATCATTCAATCTTATAAGCCTTCCTTGGGACCTTTCTTGAGGAAGGGATTAGTACTTTATTAAAGTAATTTAGAACTTAGGCTTTTCCTGGAGCATGATGGGATTGAGAAACCATCTTTGCATTATTGTAATCTTGGTGCCTGTAAGATGACTTTGTGTTGAATGAATTGAATCTTCCATGCCTTTGCTTACTTCTTCCTGCTGAGGACTGAGGAATAAACACTCCTGTGCCTTTGCTCTGATCTCTTTTGCAACTTTGCCCATAAGCAACTAATTGAGGTGGTGCTGTAATTGGATAATCTCCTCTAGAAAAGCCCTGAAAATTAGTTTCATAAAAGTGAACACAAAACTAATACATGAAAAACGATATATAATCAACAACAGTATAGCTGAGTTAATGTATCACTAACTTAAAAACTGAGATTCTGGAGTTAAGATCACACTGAATTAACAAAAAGGAGATGGTATGAATTACCTGCCAAGAAACTGAAGGATATCTTGTGCTTGGATCTTCTTCATCATCATCATCCATGATTAGAAGAGAGATTTGCTTGCTTAAGTCTGCAAAGAACAAATCATCTTCAAGTTCCACAGAAACTTCCATAACTTAAAAATCTTTTGCTTCTGAATATTAATTGAAATCTTTCTTTTTCCTTTTCTCCCTCGAAATATTGGATATGGGGGTTATAAATAGGGGAAGAAGCAAGGGATGGGGAGAGGAGAGAGTGCATGTGGGTTGGTGGGGTCCTTGGCATGAGTTGGCCAATCTGGCTAGTCCCCACAGGAGTCATGAAGAGTGTCTATGATATTATCCAGATTGGTGAAGAAAAAAAAAAGAGGAGATAGCAATATAGCATAGCAAAGCAACCCAAACCAGATATCTAATCCAAAGATAGACATGAAAATCAGTATGATTGGCTGGAGAAGGGTGAGCCTCAAAACCCCTCCCCTATCCCTTACATCTCTAAAAGGGAACTTGGTATGGTTCATAAGTCAGTCCACAATCCCTGGGCGTCCACAACTCCTTGTCTAGATTCTGGTGTCAAGTTTAATCACGGGTAAGCAAAAGGCCAGAATGAAACTCAGTCCACAAGAGGCAGAGGATCTATCTTTGTTGTTTGTAGGGCCAATTATAGCTTTATTAGTAACTTTTTTTTTTGGTCCAGCTTTTTGTATCTCTTATCCTTCTTTGCTCCAGCTCTACATGAGCTTGAAAGGTGACGTGACAAGCTTAGTTTTTTCAACACGGCAATAATTTTTCGTAACTTTCCTATTGGTGGGAGGTGGAAAGATGATGTGGGGCTTAATTGGAATTGAACACGCAACCTATGGGTGCAATCCACAAAGGGAGCAAGTAACTTAATTGATGTGCACATAATCTTATAATTCAATTGGTAAAGTACATAATCTCTTCACTTAAATTGTAAAACTTAATTGAGTATTTGGTATGTTCATTTATATTATAATTGGGATTGGGACTATTGAATTTCTTGTATGTTAACATTATGGCCTCAATTACTTGTGGATTAAGAGACACTAAAAGATCATAAGCAGAAAGAATCTTGTTTAGATTTGACAATGCAGCTGACTCATTTTCTCTCAACCCTTGTGTGGAAAGTGGAAAGCAAAGTTCATGAGCTAAAATGGGTGTCAATTGGTCCACACGGCTTGCTAACTGGCCAAGGCCCCAGGGTCCCGCGTGCCACCTGCAGAATTGCCTGCCTTCCTCTCTTAACATAATATTCCTTTCTTTTTAAACTTATACTTTTTCCATCTAACGATATGACCCATCCTTTTCCATTCCTTTACACCTGCATGTTATATAATTCGATTCCATTCCATAATCTTAACTTTATATTAAAAAGATACAAAAAGATATAAAGCAGTGTTATATTAAACTTTTAATTAATCTTGTAAGTTGGTTTTTTTTTTTTTTTTAAGATTTAATAGTAAGTGTCCCTAAACTACCTTGCACATACTTCAAAACTAATCCTTTTTCAATGTGATCAAAGGCAAGTTATCCATGCCAAAATTAAGAATTACCTTCTCCTTAACCTCCTTAAGAAATCAAACTCTAGTCAACAAAGTGAAAAACAAATTTCTTTAAACCAAGTAAGTGTCCATTTGGTGTGCTTAGAACTTTTAATAGAAGTTTTGTCCAAAAAAAAAAATTATTGTAAAAATGTTGTTTTTGTAAATAAAAAGAAAAATAAAAATAAAATAAAAATAATATGTTAATTTCATTAACACAAATGAGAAACTCTTACAGAAACACCAATTCGATGCTTCTGAGATTTGCAACGAAATGAACAAAATATTAACTTATTAGAAATTGTAACATTTTCACAAATTGTAGTGTCCAGTGCAACTGGAGCTTTTGGAGCTTCTGAAATCCAAAAGACTTCCCACCAGTTGTACCAAACATAGCAAGTCACTAACTCCCTAGGTAAATCTTGTTTTAAGCTCCATCCTTTCTCTTCTTCCTTCCCTCTTTTTTTTTTTTTTTCAAATTTCGGAAATACTGAGAAAATGGAACTCACTAGGTAAATTGGAAATATCAATTCTATCTTGACAACAACTTTCACATCTTGAAATGTTCTCCAAAGGAACATCCACGGAAAAATGTTACGTGGGATAAAAAGACATTCAACCTCCCTTTACCAATTGACATTGTATGCTATGAAGATTTTTGAGAGAATAAGAGAGATTCGAAACTTGTACTGTACCGATTGATCATGCACCACCAGCCATATCCATGTCAGTCACACCATCAATTCCCTTGAAAACAATGCGCAATTTTCTCAGACCAGAGGTTTTCTTGTTGTCCTTGTTGATTGTACCAGTGGCATGAAGGATGTCCTTTGTGACTCTACCCATCAATTCATAGAGTGGAACGCATAGGTTTGCTCGGGTCATCTCTTCCAGAACTGGAGGTGCCTGCATGTATAGATTCTTCCCATGGTGTGTGATACTTGCTTTCGATAGAAGCAGCTTAGGATTCTCCTCAAGCATATCCATGAACTGTTTCCACAAAACCGCATAAAGACGCATAAAGTAAAATTATAAATAAATGAACCTCCTGATAATGATGCAAACCTAGTGCTGATAAGGAATAGCAAAACTTACCTTTTGTAAGGTGACTGAAGTATCCAGCTCAATGAGAATGCCTGGACCACATACAAGACAGTCCTTGTCCTTGACAAATTCAGTCACTTTAGAGTGAACACCTTCAACACCATTATACCTATAAAAGTAGCATATAAGGAGATGGGAAGAAAGCTTTTGAAGTTTGCTGGTGATCAATGTAAAAGGGACCACATAAAAAATAATCAATAAACAACTTTAAAAAAGTACAACCCTTCTAAAACTCGACAACTTCACAAATGCAAATCCATCAAGTAACGACAAAATAGAAAGTAACTATTTTATCAAGATTTAGAATATCTGCAGTTAGTGTGATGATGTGATTATGCTGCTAAAATATTTAAATAACAAATAGAAAATACCTACAAGATCAATACCTTACCCAAACAAAAGTCAAGTATGTCCAAGCATTCTCAATTATAAGCATTTCTAATTTTTCCTTCAAGTAGTGCGGCTGAAGAGGACCATTTTACAAGAACAAAAAACCAAACCAAAAAAGAGGGAATGAAAACGGTGGAAAATGAAGAAGATTTACACATACGTAAGATAGTTTGATAATGTTTTGCTGCATCCTGATGCAATCTTTAAGGTCTCCAAGGCACATGCTGCTGAAATAATTGCATTTGTAGAAGCAATGGCTGGAATGATGTTTTTCACAACACCCTGCAAGTGAAAGAAAATTATTTGTTCATCTTTTTTCCATATACCCAGACATAACGACAACCAAACAAGGTCTGTTTATTCACAAAAATTTCCACCTGCCATATTCACATTTTACTGTAATAAAAGAAAATTGTCAAAACCAAATTGTTGCTTGAATTTGCAGTGTAATAAGGGTGAACTTAAATCCCAGAGAGATTTACCATATACACCAGAAAATTATTAAATGTCAAAAATGCAGAAGCTGAAAATCATAATCAGCTATTGTCTTCCAACATTCATAAAGAAGTATGAACAAAAATACTCCATAATAAATTGAAAATAGACTTAAATGTCAGGCATACCTGAGTAAGGGAATAGGTAACCCCTAGAATACCAAAAAGCTCAGCTCTCTTAACAGCCTACAGAACGCAGATAGAGCTAAGGAACCTAATGCAAAAATCAGCAGTAAAGAAAACCATCACTAAACTGTAAACAGATTCATACAAGTTACCTCATCATAAACCCACTTCATGTGTTCAGGGTGATCTGGATCAAAAGCTTTCCCACTATGAACCTTTAAAGGGGAAAAACAAAAGCTTCACAAGAGAGACTAAGCAACAAGTCATCAACTTAAACTAGAGGAATAAATAAGGTATGTGTTATCTAATTACCTCATCCCATTTGATTAAGTGAGCATATTCAATACAATGAGCTGCAGTTCTAGGGGTTTCTGCAAGAGTGCATAAAGGAAACTTTACTTGAGGAGGGAAAAGCCAGATTGTACATTCAAAGCATGGTGTGACCCCTGGCACAATCACCCTTGCATGGCCCTTGAAACCTTCGGTTCCACCATCTACCATGGGTTTGATTGTTTCTTCTCGTGGGTTGTCATCAGAATCATACTCTTGAATTTATAAGAGCAAAATGAGACATACGACATAAGCCCCATCAATAACATAGAACACCATGAAAATTGAACTTTTGGTTCATACAAGCATGGAATAAGTTATTGATGATAAATTCAACTCATGAAATCTAAAAGACCTCAAGTGAAGCAGCCAAATTAAATGTTAATATAATGTTCCATGCACAACCCAAGAATTTCTAGAAAACATATCTCCAGCAGAAGTCATAAGATTTTTGCAAAAGTAAAGAGTAAGACACACGCACCAAGAAAACTACAAGCCACAGCATTTATGTAGCTTCGAGCCTCAATGGAATCAAGACCAAGAGCAATAATATTAAAATTACTATAAAACTCAATGTCTTTGTCTTCAATCCTGCAAAAATGTGGCACAATATTCACACCAGCAACTCTTTCCATAACACGCTTTGCTGCCACTTCAGCCTTTGGCTTACCAACATCTTCAAGCCTAAAAGTATTGACACCAGAACCATGGTGAACCTTACAGCTCTAGTAGGAAATTAAATAAGCAACGCAACATATATATAAAAAGAAGAAAGCTTTAGATTTGTTAAGCTGCAATAACTATACTGTGATTATCGTACAAGAATATACTAACACGAGACACGAGATCATAATAGCTTTCTAGCCCTACCAAAAGATTAAAATAGCTAATGCAACTTAAAATTCGAAGAAGATAAACAGTAACAAACTCATGACATCCCCCAGTTTCCTATTATACACAAGTTTTCTTTTGACGGGTCTTATTATGCACAAGTATACAACAATTTTAAAAAAATGAAATGAAGAAAAACCCTGAATAACAATAATAAAAATGAATTCTTCTAATTGAAATCCACTGCAGTAGCAAGAATCAATTGAAGAATTAAACACGAGAGAAATAAAAGACCTGAAGAGAAATTGTCGATTGAGATTGGTAACCTCAATACGGTCCATGTCTATGACATCAAGATTTCGAAACCCTGAAAGAGCCAAGTCCTTAAGCAGCTCACACCCTAATCCGCCTGCCCCCACCACCAATACTCTCGCATACTGCTGCAGGTCGTCCCTCAACTACAAACACACCAGAACAACGGAAATCAAACATATAAAACCCCTAAAAGCAAACCACAAGAAATTGCACATGAACTGTTCGTCAAAATGCTAAAACCAGAGCGAGAAAGGAAGGAAACAGTACTTCCGCGCCAGGATCGAAGGTGGGCCACACGAGATTACCGGGCCGGAGGAGAAGCTTGTCGAGGTCCCTCGATCGGCTCTGTGGCGCACTTGAGTCCGCCATGAAGCAAGATTACTCTTCAGTATCTTACCCTTTTCACCCAACAACAGTGGTCACTTTTTTCCTGTTTCTCTACAAAACCCGTTACCCAAAAGCGTAGAAAATCGAAAAGCTTCCTGCTTCTGTATGGAGGGAGCCCTGTAGATGAGGAGGTAGCTAGGCTTCTACGCTTGGAGCCCGGCGCCGATGGTGTTTTTAGAGAGCTCAGGCTCCCGTACGGACCCCTGTTTGCAGTCTGCAACGTTCGCCCAGCTAAAGAGGTTCTCTACTAATGGGCTTGAATTAATGGGGGAACTGGAGGCCCAATTAGGATGATGGACTAGGCCAGATCCAGAAGTGGTTTAGAAAAAGCAAAGAGAAGAGTGAATATGGGCTGGGGTTATGGCCACCTTTAAGCCCACTCATCGTATCTGTTATTTTATTAGTTAATAATTTTTTAAAAATAATTAATTATAATATTTAGATTTATTTATTTATAAATTTATTTTAATTTATTAAATAATAAATATTGATTATTTTATTAGTTATTAATTATTTTTAATAGTTAAATTAAAAAAAAAATTTAATAATTTGAGTGACATTAACCAAAGTCATGTATATGTTATGATATTTAAAATGTCAAAATTTTTTGTGAAATTATTTAAATATTTTTAATAATTTTTTTACATTAATTAAAATATTTGTATTTTATTATTATTATTTATGTCAAAACGTCCTTATTTCCTCAATACCAAGAACAAAAGTGTAAATTAAGGTTATTAGCTTGTATATAATTCTCAATTAAGGTAGCTATAATTCTAATTTTCCCAAATAAGGAGTAAATATACAACTTAATGGCTTAGGACACTGGGTCAGTTTTTCATGCCATCTACTTTACCTAATGCCATGGAAAATGTTCTATAAAATTCAGGGAGTAGATGTTTAATTCATTATACATATTATACAAACAAAAAGGTGCTAGTTACATGTTTCCCTCCAGAACTAACGATTTATTCCCAAGCAAATGCCGTGTGTGTAAAATTTGTACTAGAATGCATGCCCCCTAACCTACCCTGAAAATTAAGCTTTCTCAATCTATAGGAACTATGTGGCAAAACAAATCTTTCCCTCACTCAGAATCTAAATTCTAACAGCATAAAAAATCTGCACATCCCTTTTAATCCTTATAGCTGAAGCTGCATCCTCAACTTGTTCTTTTGGTCTTTGTTGAAAACCCTGCATCATTTGTGTAAAGAACTTGTATCTTTGACGTTGGTGTATACATTAGAGGCTTTGCTCTTCAATCTGATATGTCATTTACATGTTGTTGATGATTGATGAGTTGAATGTATGAGAAGTACCATGCTTAAGGAAAAGTGCATAGAGTAACTCGTTCCAAGTGTCGGGTACGCCAGGTAGACACCAATGGCTGCAGTCTTGCCGGTTCAGTGGTGCAGGGCTATTGGAACCCAAATAATACAAAGATGAATGCCCATCTTTCCTCAATGCTGTCATATGTGTGATGTTTAGTATGTCGAGTCCTATTGATGCTGATGCGTTGGAGTAACCTGACAAAACGTCACTGACCATCTTGACTTGTTCCCAAGTTTCAGATGGCACCAATGATGTTCCGAGCTCTGGCAGTGTCTCCAAGTGGCAGCTTCCCCCAGTTCTCCAATCTCCTCCCCTGCATTGTTTTTCAATGAAAAGCTTCTCAAATTAAAATCATGACTGCCCATAGAAATCTATTCAACAAGGTCAGAAACATAAAGAATGTCCCCTCTTTTCTGGATGAACACACAGGATTGAGACCAAAGACAAGTAAATTATAGATGAATGTGTTTCTTGAAGCAAAAGCAAGGACCAACAAATAAAGTTCTGTAATCAGGTCCAAAGAAAGAAAAGAATTACATGAAAAACGTTTACTAGTATAACTTCAAATCTTAAGATCCCGATAGCTAGAACAGTGCACAGCTTGACCGTTGGACTAATTGAAAAACCAAAGGAATATGCATCAGAAATTTTCCCCTGATATTCTATGGCCATTCAAGTTCCAATGGTAAAGTTACGCCCGTGGCTATACTGAAGCATAAGAGAAGAACAATTGTAGCATGAAATAGTATTAGCAGAAAAACTATGCCTAGAATTAAGACAGACCTGAAATGTACAGGTGCAAATGTGCGAAAGAAGACCTGGGTCTTATTTGCATTCACTTCATTGTGTATCCACTGTATCACGGTCTCTATGGACCTCCGATATGCATGTTCTATCTTCATTTCCATTTTCACTTCAGCCCCTTCTTGGAAGTAACACCCCCTATAGCCAACCAAGCAGAAAATTAAGGTAAGAAACTTGTAATTTTAGTTGACACATGTAAGATTACAACAATCACTACAAGATTTCTATGGACAATAAACCTTTGGTTCCACACTTTCTCAACAAGCGTGTAAACAAAATAAAATCATAAAGGTCACATCTAGTATTCACTGATGAATCTACAATCTGACCCATAAAAGACATAATGTTGAATGTTGGGGCCATTATTGTTGAGTGTTGACATATGATTAGAAAAGAATCCATGCAAGCCACAATCAGTGGTTCAACAGCGACTTGTCTGTTCCATCACTTTCAAATTTAGAGCTTGGTCCTCAGAAATATCAAAAAGCAGTAATTAGCATAGGATCATAATAAGAAAATTGGTAAGAAGTTCCCACTAAGAAAGAAAGAAATAAATAAAAGCAGAAACCAAAAAGAGGTTATGCAAAGCAAAAGTCCTTTTCCCAAAAGCAAAGTTGTTGAGCTGTCACAGACCCATCTTATCATATGATTAACCACCTTGAGATTAATTTATTTGAAATAATCCACAAGGGCCCTCCAATAATCCTAATGCATGAATCCCAGCAAGGACCATTTCATTGGTGAATCCCACCAATAGAGTTACCTGTGCTCTTAGTCATAGGTCTAGAGTTCAATATCTAGTCTCTATGTACCCAAAAAATAAAAAATAAAGAATAAAAGCAAGGGACTATCAAACTCCTGATATTTCAAGAGATGCCTTGAGACAGCAAATATTCATCTTTGACTAAACTCCGGATAAATTCCATGTCTATGCTTAGGGGCTTTTGAGTATGAGAACATTAAATACAGCAAAAACTAATGCCAGCCGACTATCACTGTAGTCTTGTACAAACAAACATCTAACCACAATAACAAAGAATTTGAAGAAGGATAAAAGAAATATCACATCTTACTTACCCTCTTATGGTCTTTTCATAGTTCCACCAATGCCCAGTATTGAAGATCAGCACATCTGCATCTCTCCACTTTTTAGAGTTCCAGTCCATCTGGTCCAATTTCAGGGTTGTCTTAATCTTCTCTGGAGAGCCAGGAGGAGGCCTGCTCTGCAGGACAAGAAATGGAGCTCTGTAGTACTCCACTGTACAATTATAGTCCTTGAACATGAAAACCAAGAACCCTTTATGCTTTGTAATTGGGCTGCCATTCACTTCATATATGGAGTCCTTATTGGGAACTGCAGAAGAGAGCATGCAGAGGAGTGACTCCCATTGATTTCTTCCAATTGAATCCCCAACAAACACTAAGCGCTTGTTCTGCAGTTTCTCCAACATCACTTTTCCAACAAATCTGTTATAGCATTGACAGAAAAAATAATGATAACCAATAATCCTTTTTCTTTTCCATTAGTAAACACTAAGATTTGGAGCAGGAAATGGTTGTTGAAATGAATGGCAGATGGAAGGCAATTTCTATGCAACCACCACTTAAAGAAGTTTTCACTTTTGATCTTTGTTTGAGTGGAAGCAAGAGGAACCAGGGAATGGGATGGGGTCAATACACCTAAAATACCAAAAATTACAGTCCTCTATCACTTACAGCAAAAATTTGATTCTCACACAATCAACCCATAGGAATTTTATATTTTTACTTTACCAAAGGAAATATACCAAGTACTTTGGCGCATAAATCTTCCAGTTATGATGGCGCATAAATCTTCCAGTTATGATTCCGCAGACATGTGATAGATGAAAACAATCTAAATTATAGCAAAGATAAAGCCATTTTGTCCTCAGTGTCTAAATTATTTCAAATCCTTGTTCAAGGGTTCACGGATGAAGTAATCAAGGAAGGAAAATGGCTAGCAAACAATAACAAGGACGTAAACGATCAATACAAAGAAAATGATAAACAACTGGAATCACAAAGAAAGGAGAAAGCAAGGACAGTTAAAAATCACAGGAAAGCACAATTAAAATGGCCCTTGGGGTCCAACCATTAACAATCCACTCGATTGTTATCCACTAGAAGGAAAGAGCAAAATTAGTTTGCAGTCTTTTTCATAGATAACTAATTATTAATAACAAATTAATCAATTTTATCTCTAAGACAGGTAAAAACTTTATTAAAGGGTTATGGACCACATAGGAATTAGGATTCACAGATAGACTAGTACCCTCGTTTGGTCGCTGAGAAAATGCAGGAAAATAACAGATATCATATATTAGCTAATAGCCTTGAATTGAAGGAGCAAAAAAATTTGAAGTGGGTTCGGGGATGATCAGAATTTCAATATTTTGTATGGTTAGCATTAATTTCTCAGCAACCAAACAAGTAATCAAATGAAAACTGAAGAGAAAAACAGCAAAAAAGAAAGGAACCTGGGCAAGTTGCAATGTCTGGGTTGCCATCTCCACTTGGTGTAGAACATGTCAGGCCTCCCATACTCAGTACACCTAAACCCATCATCCAGAAAGCTGCAATCTTTAGATTGGTACAAAGGATACCCTTCATCCCACACCCAATCACCATCAAACACATTGCAACTGTTCCCCTCTTCCCCCAAAAACTCAACTCTCTTAATCTCACTAGGCGACTCATCTAATTTCAACCACAAGAACCTATCTGATTGTGCAGGAACTCCATACCCTTTAGCGGCAGCCCTGTAATCCAAGTAAAAGAAGCAGCAAATCACACAAACCACAATAAGAAAGAACCCCATAACTCCCACAGACGGTTCAAACAGTCTAAAGCGCTTGAATTTCTTGAAAAGCTCGAACATTGGCATGGTTTCATGTCCATCCTGAGATGGGTTCTTACTCATTTGAGAAGAAAACTAACCAAATCTAGACAAGAGTACTAATCACAAAGAAAACAAAATGGAAAAGCACAACAAGAGGAGTGGGTTGGAAGCAGAGTAGCACTCATGTGCAGAGGCATTGAACCATGTCCTTTGCTTGGCAGGGCAGTTACGTTGAGTTAGATAAATAATGGGTACTAAAAAGGAGACAAAAAGAGAGAAGCTGTCAAGGACACGAGGAAGCATTCATGGCGGATTAATATATATATATATATAGTTTCTTTTTCACTTTTTTCTCCCTTCTCGATTACTTTACCATCACAAAAGATTCAGATGAAAGAGGTTGATTTGCTGAATTAAAAGACGGTTTTTTAGTGTAATAATTACATTTTTTATACCGTAGTTAATTTGTATAAAAAATAATAAATATGAATTTTAATTTAATTAATTAATTAAAATTTTCTATGGTGTTAAAAGAAATAATAATGTCAAATTTTTATATCATAAAAAAAATTTAAGATCTCATTGTATTAAAATTATTAGAACATCTAATAATAACTATATAATGATTTTGATATTGTTAAATCTCATTTTATATCGTAAACATTTAATTGTTAAAATTATATATTTTAACATTTTAAATGTTAAGACATCTTTTTTTTTCTCTTATACTCCTTTCATTAAATTTTAATAAATTTCCTATTTAAAGTGTTTAAATTTAATTGCCTATTTTTCTTATGTAAGCTATTATTTAGTGCAATTAATTATATTTAAAAGATAATTATAATATATATTAAATAAAAAAACCCTTATTTATTATAGATGGTATTTAATTGAAAATAAACATAAAATTTTATAAATAAATTATTATATTTTTATTTTATAAATAAAAAATAAATTTACTAAAAATAAATTAAAAAATATTTTTTTATGTAAATTAATTACTATAAAAATGTATCTTACCCTAACCTGTATTCTAAACAAACCTATTAAAAAGAATGAGTATTGGAAATTGGAGAATTGTTGGCGTGATTCCGCTGAAGAGGGTTCCTTTCAACTCCAAGAATCCGAGATTTAAAATACTCTTCAGTGGAAAATTTTTTTTCCTTTTTTATTTTTTATTTAAAAAAAAGGTTAAACCCTCATTTAGTCCTTTAACTATTGTATAGACCTTTAATTTGATCTTTAAATTAAAAAAATTCATAATTTGATCCTCATTGTATCAATTTGGTCTTAGGTTGATTCTTTTGTAAAAAACAACTAACATATCTATTATTTAATGATCAAAAATTATTATTTAATGGTCATGTATCGTATTATGTATTATATTAATAGTATTATATTAATAATAAGATACGTAAGATCAAGGAGTTGAATCAAATGGTAAACGGCTTGTTCCAGTTTAAGTAAGGTTTCGAGTTCGAGCCCTTGTGTACGCAGCAGCCCCTGCTGGGAGACTCACCCACCATTTCCAGGTGTGCGACACGGGTCTGGTCCGGATTAGTCGGAACGAAGCCTCGGATACAGAGCGGGATAAAAAAAAAAAAAAAGATACGTAAGTTATTTTTATATTGAAAGATCAATTTGGAACTAAATTGACAAATAATAAGGATCAAATCAAAATTTTTTTAATTTAAAGATCAAATCGAGAGCTTATACAATAATTGATTGATCAAATTAAAAATTTAACAAATAAAAAAAAAAAAAAGTGGAGTAAGGAGTGGTGGGTTGAGAATTGAGACACGGTGCTTAATTTGAGTTTGCTTTTAAGTTGACGCGATAAGAATGGAAACCGATGGAAATTCTAATCCCAGAGATTTATTAAGCGCGTGGAATAAACTTTGATTTGGAAATAGTTTTTTCCTGGTTTTTATTTGATTATTGCGTATTTTAATAAATTGTAATA